CATTGGGTCGAAGGAAGAGACTTCCATTGCAATACAATATTGTACTTTCTCTTAACAGAACGGACTCCAGGACAGAGGGCCGCTGTATTTTACCACTGACTCCTATACTCACCGAGTGATCCCAACACCATGGTAATCGATAGGCTTGCGAACGACCCCCTTTTCCTCCGTGAAACGTCATCGCAGTCGGATGTCGCCAACTCAGCAATTGGACCCGAGCCCGGTGCCGAGCGTCACTCGACGCGCTGATTGGACGCGAGGTCCAGCCGAACGCTGACGCGGCGTTCGTGTCCAATCAATCACAGCAGGCGGCGATGTCCCGTTTCCTTGATCTCGCCGTGTAGATTATAGCCTAGGGTACTCCGGTACACAACTTATAACGCCTCCAACTGGAGAGAACTTGCAAGAATAATAAACCGACCGCAATGCGTACGCGTTCGCGCTGTAGCGGGAATGGTTGAACCTCCCTAAAGCCACCCCCATTATAAATAGAGCTTGCGAAGATAGGTCCAAGCGTCATAAATGTTTTACACTTTTCTCAAATGCAAATAAATGTAAACATTGCCAAATCAGGGAGCCCTCCAGGAAACCTTAGCTGACCTCTTGGTCCTGTGTGAAGAGCTTGAAGCTTGGAATTATTTCATATTAACAATTTACACATTATTTATAATAGGAGTCACGGCGTTCTTGAATGCAATCACTCAAATTAAGGTTTTATCCATTTTTACGCCGTTATAGCAGCATTTGAAATATTATCTTTTCTGAAAATTGCGAGTACGTAAAATACGTATCCAAAATCTGATTGCGGTCAACGCACCTTTTAAAATAAGATTACACCTCTAAATCAATCGCCGCTTTCCAGTAAATCTAACTTGTCTCTTTGTGTGTGGCTTTCGAACCGCACCGTGAACGCCAGCATCCACATTTTTCGCAAATTTTGGCTCCCCAAGTGGAAAGACGTTTCAAGACCTAGTGGAGATAAGGAAGAGCAAATAAGTTTATATTTGCTGGGGCGGACGTCCGGTCATTTGTCTGTGTGTCTGTGTGTGTGTGTGTTTGTGCGCGTATGTGCGTGCGTGCGTGCGTGCGTGCGTGCATGTGTGTGTGTGTGTGTAAAGGGGGAGATGATAATATTAAAAGTTGTGTCGGATGCAGTCTTGTACACGTTACTAAAAAAAGTATTCGATTACAATTACTATTACTCTTGGCTAAAAAGTATTGGATTAGATTACTTGATTACTCGATAGCAAAAGTAAGTGGACATTACTTTAAGAAGTAACCGTTACTTTTGCGATTACTTTATTGTGTGAAGACTTACATCTTTAGCGCCCATAACAATGAACTACTTCCAACCTGAATTTTATATTTTCACAAGTATTGAAGCAGAAAAAACGGGTTCCCCATTCATGCTCGTTGGACCTCCACATGCGGACAAGCATAGAATTCGTTTGAAGAAGTTTAATGATTTGGGCGTTCGCCATGTTGGAGGGGGGGGGGGGGGGGGCGAACGGGAGCGGAGGGGGTTCTAGTTCTTGTTAAGCTTAAGCAAGGGCTGTCGCTCAAAGTTTGCGTGGCTCATTTTATTATTCACATGTGGATGAGCTCGCATGTTATACAAAAGAGCAGCAGCTCCAGGATTTGAAATGGATCATGTGTAGCATCCATTAGCGGAAAAGATCGACCCGACCACTTCTCAACTCGAAACTATGCTTGTCACAAAGACCACGTAGGGGACATATTTGAACTGGCTTTGTTATATTTTGCATCCGCTTTAGACATTCTTCGGCTATGGTTCTCCTACGGGCTGCGAGTAGGTGCCGTAAGCAATATTTTTTTTTTATTTCTGTGTGTGTGTGCATGAGGGGGCTAGTTTGAACGAAGGACTTACAAAGCTATCTTCTACTCCCCCAACTTCGCCCTGAATGGCCTTTCTCACGCACTGGGGTATCCCTGGGGCTTCCCAGCCCCAGTGCCAGCACGGAAAAAACAACAAAAAAACAACAACAAAAAACAGACATTCTACAGAAACTGTACATTCCCAGGGGTTGACCTCGTTTCCTACTGCTCCGCAAAAAATATCTTCCGTTTTTCCGTTCGAAAAAGGAAGCAACTTTTATTTTTGTCATTTCAGAAAAAAAGGTGTGTGCAAGGGAGGGGGGGGGGGGGGGGGGGGAGGGGGGTCCCGTGGAAAAATAGTAACGGTTAGAAGTAATTTTTATTACTTCAAAAAGTAATCAGATTACTCTTGTGATCACTGCCTAATAAAAGTAATCAACTGATTACAAGATCACTCCAAAAGTAATCGATTACAAGTAATTTGATTACTTGTAATGCGTACGGTACAAGTATGGTCGGATGTCGGCCTCTGAAATAAATTTCAGGGGCGAGTCCATGACACAACATTCCTTTATTGAGCAGCAAACCCGTTTAGGACAATTCGCCAGCTCGGTGTATTTTGTTTATGACTGTTATAAATAGGCGGAGCAACCATCTTTGTACTTTGTGCAAATACCACTCAGAACGATTCTCTGATGTTTTTACCCTGTGAAACACGCGTTAGTCTTTCTCACGGAATAGTAATCGCAGAAAAAGAAAATCAAGAAAAAAGCATGAGCCATTTCACTTTGTGAAGGTGAATGACCAGCGAAGCTGTTTAGCAGACGACACAGACCCGCCCCGAGGAGCCGGAGGAAACTAGACACGCGCGACGGGACCGCCACCCCGGGAGAGCGGAAGGAGAAGAGGCACGCAAGCGCTTGGAGCGACGACATAATTAGTCAGGGCGGTGCGAGCGCTGATATGGCCGACACGGGTCGCACAGCGGCAAATCTTTGAGGAACCTTTATTATCTACCTGAGAGTCTACTGATCTTGAAAATGATGCCTTTTGATAACTAATCTACTGAATAGACCTATTGCTAAATTACCTAAGCATCAAGGAGAATGCAGGGAATGGTGTTCCACGCGCCGCACGTGCCGGCGTCTGCGGCAGTAACTGTTTAAAACAAAAGCCTAAAACAAACGACATCTTGCACGCGCGTTGGTCAACGCTTTATTTTGGTTATTCACTTGGAATCTTTTAAACAAAGAAGGCGTGCGCGTGCGGCAGGGGCGGATCCAGAACTCCTTTTGGGGGGGGGGGGGGGGCGGAATTATTTGTGAGGATACTATTCTCCCATTCTTTCTTGTGCCCCGGGGGTCCACCGGTCCCATGTCAAATTGCCCTCCGAGAAGGGGAGAGGGGGTCGACATTGTTAGGGGGGAAGCGGCGCCCCTCCCGTCGCCCCCCCCCCCCCCCCCCCCCCCCCCCCCATTTCCAGATCCGCCCCTGGCGAGCGTAGAGTCTTTGGTCACGCACACGAAGAATCCACAGAACCCTATTCGCGACTCCAGCGACCTATAGGGGACGCTACTATCGGGCAAATATGGCGGTCGAATCCAGGTCCTGCCGTGCCATGTGCCAGCTGAACGCACAACACTGGGGCACCAGAAAGTAAGCATTGGACTTAAAATTGGTTTCCCCGCGTTTTATCTTCCACGTTTCGAACCTGCGGCGATGTGTTGGGGTAAGCGAACTTCCAGAGTCTTGACTTTCTTCGAGGAAACGAGGAAAGGACTGCCCATTGTCCTTCGACGGTGCTAATGAACGTTGAGAAACGCAGAATGTCTGGCTCACGCGGTTACATAGGTCGCGTGCAAAGCAACTTATGTCACAAGGCGACACTATACCCTGTCATCGGTAGAACTGTTCTGTCGCGCAAACCACCGACAACATGGAAACACGGAAGCCAGAAGAGACGAGCAGAAATCACGAAGGGACCTGTTCCGGCCAGTTCAGTGTTTTCCTGCTATGTGCCGTTCGTTTTGCTGGAGTCGCGAATAGCCTTAAACAGCTTCGCTGTAAAACGAGCAGCGTCCACCTTCTCAGCTTGCAGCGCACACCAGCTAGCGCACACCAGCTCGGAGCACTTGGAGCGAAAGCTCGCGGTGCAGAACCCAGGATCCTGGGCTCAATCCCCACCCCTGCCCGTTTCGATCTGGATGAGCATCGTACCGGCGTGCGGTCGTGTATCACTACTGCGTGGTGCACGTTAAAGACCCCAGGCTAGCGGTTGTACTGCACTGGCAAAATTGCTCATCTACACCTGGGAGAATCGTCGCCCGTTGAGGCAGAGCAAGTTCTAGGCTGTATAAACATACACACACCCCAGTTTTTCAGCTAGAATCCAGAACACGTGACCACCTGATCTGGGGCCGATGAAATGCCGCCAACGTTTATCATAGCCACGCGCTGGGGTTGGCAAGGCGCAGGACACATGTTGAGCTCCAGACACTGTTAGGGTTGGGCTAGGGTTCAGCTGTTGTCTCCATCGCAACGACTGGACACGAGCCACTGTCTGAATGCTTGTCGAGTTATTGATTATCACGAGCCCAAATTGAGTGCTGGCGTAATGCTCGGGTGCAATCTGTGCGCCGCATTCAAATGTCGTCACTCGGGGGACTACATGCCAACGTTATATGAAAACCTTGCGACGTCCGGCCTACCTCATCAAGTTTTTAGAAAGAGAGATTGAAAGAAAACGGTCGCTTTTCTTGAAATTACATTGCAACAAAGAAGTTTCTTGGTTAATGGCGTTGCGTGCGAGTATGCTCTAGGTACGCATTATTGCCTGTAAGCTTGTGCAAAGTGGAAAGGCAACTGAATGTCGGGTGCACCTTTCCTTCAAATGCGAGTATACCGAAACTCTGAAAGAGGAAAAAGTGAGCTATGTTGTTTCCGGTGTTTGTTTGCACGTACTCAAATACTCTGAACCTTGCAAAGATCTATGTGTTAAAAATTATGAGCGTCATAAGCATAAAGTGATAAAAATATTTCTATATAGTTTATTTATCTCCTTCTACCTCGTCCTCGGGTGAAGTAGCACGGGCACAACCCTGTGGCGGATTTAAACGGTTGCCTCCTCATTTGAATGACCAGTATTGGAGCTTCATTCAACGGTCATGTCATCGTCCGGTGCAAGAGGTCTACAGCCCCTTCTGCCTTTCTATCGAATTTGCAGCACCCGCAATGATCTTTGGAAACTCAGTCGCTACAATCGACACGTCAGTTGTACACTTTCGTGCGAGGGCTTGAACGTCGACGGCGATAGGAAGCGCGTGTTTCTGTGCATGAGCCACACTTCAAAACCAGAGGCACACGACCAGTGCAAGGTAACTCTACGTATTAATCGTGTGCCGTATTTTGGCGTACCTCTGGAGATACTTGATATCAGCAGGTACGTCGCTCTCAGGAGTAATCATTTCTCTGTCGTGGGCTTGGATATTCTTGACGACTTCAGTGTCGCCATTCACGTCGTAGAAAAGGTACCGAAGGACGAGTTACTGCGCTCTGTCGCCGAAGGCCACAACTGCATCCACGACGTGGCCACCACGAAAAGACTGGCTCATGACCTGCTGACGAGTGGAAACTGCGAAGATGTCATCGTGGATTTCCTGACGGTGTCCCTCAACTGCCCTCTGAAGAAGACAAGACTCCAAGTGCCGTGCCGCGGCGTGGACTGTCGTCATGTCCAGTGCTTCGATGCTCTGGCGTACCTTGAGCTGAACGAGAGCACTCTTCGTCCCTTCTGGCGCTGTCCGGTGTGCGACCAGAGCGTAAAGGTGAAAGAGCTGCGCATAGATCTGTTCACGCTGGAGATGCTAGACGCTTTGCCTGAGAAATCTGGCCTGGTGCAAATATCTCCAGAAGGAAAATGGACTCCAGTCGAACCCGGATTTGAGTCAAAAAGCAAGGGGGCGCTGCTCGCCGATGGAAGATACGTGATTGACTTAACGGGAGATACCTCATCTGACGAAGAAGCCTGATTTTATGTGAAACATAAATCTGATTTTTGTATGTTTGACTGAAATGAATAGAGTGGAGGAGGCAACGTATACAGTTATTTGTACGTGATGTTTTTGTTCTGGTTCAGAAGGTTGGCTTATTGGTCAGAATTTCGAATGCACGCATCCTGGTACTCGCCTGCATGCCCCTACATGGGGCGAACTACAAAGTTTGAGGCGGAAATTGTTTATAAATTTATTTTAGTGTTTAATGAATGGGATGGGTACAGTAGTTTGTAATGTAATTATCAGGGTTTCTGGAAAGAATGAAAAAGCTCTGTACACCTCGATTAAAATTCTGAAACAAGTTAGGTAAATAATTATATAACCAAAGAACACGCTCGTATTTTACGTAACAAGTCGCTGGGAATGTGATCAAATATTATACTTCGTCGCGCCTTAACCTTGCAACTTCAGACTGTCAGGAAATTTGTGCACCCAAGACAAATTACACGGCTATCAGTTCGTGGCTGCAGCCGCTTCAGCTGCAGTACATGCATGTTCTGTCGGGGGAGATGCTTGGTAGAAATGGTCTTAAAATAACAAGACAGAAAACACGGTTTTTATTAGCAAACATGGAAATGGTAAACATGGCAGGTGGAAAAGAATTAAGGGTAACGACTCGGCTCACATTAAAATGTGAAAGCGGGGAAGTTTACAAACTCGTGTTTTTGTACAACGTTGTTTGTTGGTGCCGGTTTCGTGCTTCCTTTTACGTTCTTTGAGATAATTTAAACAGATTTTTGGCCAACATCGGAGCTTGTCAAAGCAAATCAAGTTGAACTTAGATATGAGGTGTTTAGACGGCGTAACGCGCCAGTCAAGTACGACTGGTAGCCCAGGGTACTTAACGTGCATCACACCGTAGAAATACACCACCGGAGGTTGAACTGAGGATCTATGGGTAATGTATGCTTGAGCTTTTGATCCACGTACTCCGAGCTGCAATCAGGCTCCGTGTTTATAACCATTTACACACTCGGAGTCTTGGACTCTTTCGCAACTCTCAAAAACAAACAAATATTTCGTTAGTTGTTTAGATAGCAGGAGTTTAGTCTGCCAGTGTATGGTGACATTGTGAACTTTTAGCAAATCGTTACCGGAGTCTTTGAAGCGTGCTTTTAATCACGCGCTCCAGTGAACACCTCCAATATAGGAGGTGTTCACTGGACGCCATATTTGAGGGCGATATTTAGAGCGCATGCTCAGAACGAGCTCATATTAATAGCCTGCTAAGATCGGCAACCTTGATGGTGCTAAATGCACGCTCCAAAAGGACTGCGGAAGCTCGCCGTCAGCACGCGCTCAGCAGCAGCGCACACGGATATGGTCGCCAGTGAGTACTCCCTATTGTGGTATGCGGAACACGGTAACGGTTTGCCAAAAGTGCACCTATTGTTATCCACTGTAGATGAGAAATTTAGCCAATGTAGTACGACTGCTAGCCTGAGGTTGCCAACTCTCAAACCACGGTTTATTGATACACGCCTGAAAAACAACGATGACGAGAAGCTAGAAGAGAAAAAAAAAGACGAAAAGAAGGAAATCATATGTCTCTTACTCTTTCCTTTTCTGCTATGAGTAGACGTGTAACGGACATCCGAGAGGTACCGTCGGGGAAGTCGTCAAGCCGCGGTCTCGTGTCTCCCGTCAGAACACCATCCAGCAGCTATGGCGAATCATCTCCGGCAAAGTCTCAAGACTCGATGTACCCAGAGTGGTTCACAAAGCGTTGGACATCTCGAGCGATGATGGATTCCCCCAGCCCCTCGTCAGATGACATTTCAGGAGAAAATTACTTTTCAGGAACACACGACACTGCGGAAACATCGTTTGGTCGGAAGAGAGACGGTTCGAGAGATTTAGAGAAGCTGGCTTCGGAGAAGAAAACAGAGCGAGACAGTCCTCTCACATTGTGAGTACAGTTTCGAACGCCGGCCTAGTAAACGTCCAGTTGATGTCATATTTTAGCTCGTTGTTCCGGAGGTGCAGAAGAGTGTAGGGCAGTGTAGTTCCGGTATGTGTATGCGGAGCGCAAATTCGTCTGCTTCTTTTACAGGAGTTGTGGTGACGTCAGAACGCCGAGCTCTGATTGGCCCTGATTGAAGGATAGCGGGTAGACCTCAAGGCAGCTTGCTTTGAGGTCTACCCACTATCCTTCTCTGCACAATGGTAGACACAGGTGCGAGCTTCTTGCGTTCGATTGGATTGCGCCCCGGCCGCATGAGCCCTCGCGTGCAGCGGGATGCAGCGGGAGCACAAGTCGAAGGCGTTCGCGCTACTTGCATGTTCCGCTGTGTCGGTTGTTCCACCAATGTACAGTAAATTGTTTTTTTTTTTTGTTTTTTTTAATTGGTGCGTGATTTTTGAAATGTGAGATACGACCGGAAGTACACCGTCCTGTATTTTTCCGTACCGGTGCAAGAGATGCAGGTAAATCAAACGATCATACATGCATGTTCAGAACAAGCTCCCAGTTTCACTCGTCGTCTGCCAAGAACGACAATCTCACTGATGTGGAATGGACTTCTTCCAAAACCGACGCGCCCCATTGCGGCGAAATACCGCGCAGTGCACTCTGGGAACTAGTTGGCCACTCAGTTTCGGTTTCGACTGAGCAGATTCATCTCATGCTATTACGCCGCGACCGAACGCGCTGCATGCGTTTTCGATTATTTGACTTTTTTACGGATGTACAATACACTCATTCTCGAGCGATACAAAACGAAGGCCGGGGCACTTTCCTTGGTTCCCGAAACACCGGATATTATGAGTCCGTAAGCAAACGTAGTAAGACGTGGCTTAGTTACCTCATCTTTGAGTTCAATTTCAATAATCCCGTCTAGTGTCAGTGAACTACAAGGGAAATTCGGTCACCTAGAGCAGTGCTTCTCAGCCATTGATGTTTCGCGGACCCCTTGTGGATCGGCGAAGATGATGGAGGACCCCGTTCGTGGTAAGGGGAAGGGAAAGAATAGCTTAATTATTATAGTGATTTTATAAACTGATATAAGTGAGGGCTAGTGTGAAGTAGACTTCTCTTACTGACATATACACGAGAAAGCTCGCCCAAAATTGGAACGTTTCTTCACAATCTGAGAAAACACAACTTTTATTTCCGGGCTTGACTGATGAAGTCGGGCTTCGCGGACCCCTAGAATACCTTCGCGGACGCCAAAGGTTCCGCGGACCCTTATTTGAGAACCACTGACCTAGAGCATTACACGTATTTTGTTTGCCAAACGTCCGCTTCTTGTTACTTCATTGGGCGAAAAGCAAGCCGCATCCTCACAGGAGTATCAAAGTTGAGCCCAGCGTTTACGCATGAACTTTTAAGGAAACGCAACAAATTCGACCTCACTACTCCACCAAAGTTACTATGATGTCTTCCTCATGTCATCATATATCTCCAACTCAAATTTTATGCTGATAGAAGATTAAGTTCTCGCAAATGCTGAGATCGGCTAGCTACGACGGAGGCCCTAACAAGCGTCCCTTACTCCTCGCTAAGCCTTTTTAGACGAGCTTTTACTGACGCCCAAGATGTGTGCCTCAACGGTGTGTCTCAAATTATCTCGGCATACTCAGGCAGGAAGAAGGCAAACACATAACAAGTATTGGCCATTAGCAACCGTCAAATGCACTTTGAATAATTTTGTTCATTTGGCGCACCGCATAGGGGATCATGCCCGTCCAGCGTACTTCTGGCGAATGGTGCGACATTTTTCACACAAGTGTTCGACTTTTGCTTTCTTAAAACGGTTTGTATATGTGAATGGTGCCTATACGATGGCAGGATAACTTTATGCGCACACGCGATGTTGAATATTAGTAAAATGCAAGTGGGTGGGGACTTCGCTTCGTGCAGTGCTGCGGGTCAGTACAGATAATAGATAAGAAGTGTGTTATAATTGAGCTTTTCAATGGCGCCTCCGAGTTTTACCTCGCGTACACATTCGTATTAAGAAAACAGTAATTACAAAAACTAATATTTTGTCTTTGGACGCACGAAACAAACAAACTTCCTGATCAACAACACTAATGTAAAGGCGCGAGCTCGATGTATGCATACTTATTGGTTGCTACAGCTTGTTGATTCGTACATAAGCAAACTCCCCGAGCTTCGCAGCGTCGGCATTCCCAGCACTGGCTCGTCCACATACCTCGAAACGCTAACAGAAAGGCTCAAGTACAAAAATACAACAAGCATGTGTTAAGACAAGCTATACGTCTCGGGCTTGTGCTAAAGCTTCGAGGTCTGGCCATTTAGGTTAGTTTAGAGACCACAAAGGACGCTCTCGGGACCAGAAAACATGAGATAACGACCGTTAATAGTCCACGCTCTGTGTGTAATCTCTGGTCGACGTGTCGATTGAAACCGAAACACATGCCACCCTCCTCCCTGGCCAACTAGTTCCCAGAGTGCAACGCGCGCCGTGTTGCATGCAGGGCTTTATGGAAGTAGTCTATTCAGCAGCGACGGACTCAAATATAAGGAGTATTCACTGGCGGCCATAGCTGTGTACACGACCGCTGAGCGCGTGCTGATGGCGAGCTTCCATTGTTCTTTTGCAACGTGCATTCCACACCATCAAGAGTGCCGGTCTCAGCAACCTATAAATGTGAGCTTGTTCTGAGCATGCGCTCTAAACAGAACCCACAAACATGGCGCCCAGTCAATACTTTCTATAGCTACGTTTAGAGCCACTAAATAACCTATGCTTCAGAGTAACGACACTTCGGCCGTCTTGCTGCTTCAAATCATGGTTGCCTGTTATCTGAAGCTTTATCTGAAATCGCAGAAAATGCCTATCTGTCCCCCAGAAATGTTAATGCTCAGTTAAGCCGGGGTCACGCTGCTTATACATCATACAAAAGACAGCCTGCGAACAGATTCGAACGCCGATCACAGCCAGATCTGTGCTTCGAATGCCGCATGACTTGGCACGCGGCAGACTGATGTCTGTAGACTCATTTGTATG